TATTATCTAATGTGTTATATATGTGAAAAGATAATCGGGCACTAAAAAAGGAGCTGGATAATAAAGTTTAGGTACTAAAAAAGGGTTTAAGTATAGACACTAAACTAAAATTATTTTAAAGTAAAAGGATCAAAATAAATTTTAACCAAAATATATAAAGTGTTGTTAAACATTCAGTTCCACTACCTTTTTGGTCCTTTCGTTAACAAGGTTAAAATGGCACGTTAAGTTGCTAGAAAAATCAATTTTTCTCTTCTCAAATTTTACATGTATGTTTTAAAAGGGAAAACTACATATCACTTTTAAGTCTTACAACGCTTATAAAAATCTGGAGTTTTAATTTTAAAAATATTACTTTTTAATAAATATTTTAAAGATTAATCATTAAATTTAATATTTTATCGATATAAATTATGTATATCAATTTTCAAGTTAATATAATATATATAATCATTTGATAAAAAAATTTTATTTTTTGATATGTATTTAATGGTAATAAATTTTCAATAATCAATGAATTGATTATATATATTTAATCAATCTAAAAATTAATATGTATAATTTATATGAATAAAAAATTAAATTTAATCATTAATTTTTAAAAATATTCATTAAATATTGGTGTTTTTAAAGTTCAAATTCTAACTCTCTTTTTTTTCATATATATAGTCAAAGGTAATAAGTACTATCCTCATTTCAAAAATATATTTCGTCTTTCAAATTATAAAAACAGCACACTACATAGGCATGCAGAACTTCAAGCAGCAACCCATTCGGCTAACACAGCGTTCTTTATGTGAATTTTTACTATCTTGTGACACACTCAGCAGGATGACTTACCCAATCCTGAAATGAAAATGAACATCAAGTCTTGAGCCACGCGAAGGTCTTAGCTTGTATTAAGAGGGTGTCTAACAAAATTTAAAAGTTTTTGTTTTAAAAGCATTATTTTTTTTTTTATAAATTCGAAAATTTTTAAGTAAAAAACACTTAAAATTAACTTTTTAAATGAGTTTTAAGTAAAATTTAAAAACCTATATATCCAAACTTTTTTTAGAACTTGCTTAAAATGCATTTTAAAAGAAGATTTTTTAATTTGTTTCTAATAAAATTTTAAATTTTAAGAGGTAAATAATATTTTTATAACAAATAATTTTTAAATTTTACCAATTACCTTCTAAATCTAATAAACTTTAAATTTTTAAATATCATATTTCTAGTATATAAAAAACGGCATCAATAATCCCAACGTAAGACCTTGCTGCTATAAGTAAAGTGTCGCAATTAAGATTTTTCATTTTTCTAGGGGAAAGTTGATTAGGGTAAATTATTTGAAGTTCTCTCATTAGCGTAAAAGCAAGCGCCCATCATTCAAGGGATGATCATGATTCAAGCAAGGCAGAGCTCCAAAATCACAAGAAGGATGACCATGATTCAAGGCAATTAATTTTCCCAACTGACAACCTGTAATTGCACCAAACCAAAAGTCCTTTTTCAATCTGCGTCTTCACTTCAGATGAACCTGCAAAGCCCCGAGGTGGGTCATCGGGGTAGACACTTTAATGTTTAAGTCAGCAATAATCGGATCTACCTTTTTGGGATAATTAAAGAGGAGCTTTAGGTCAGTTTCAATTACCTTTCTGAGGTGGCCATTGGGAGGTATTTATAGGCCTTTGTGAGGTATCCACGTGGATTGCTTAGCAGGATAATTGGAGTGTGACGTGTCTTTTAAGGAGGTAAATTCGGGACCGGCGGTAAATTCGAGACCGGGAAATTATGTGATAGATCAGGTGCGGACATGTCCACTGTATTTACCATGTAGCCATTTGATCGGAAGTGTTGGAATTAATCTCACTTCGGCTATTAAGGAATTGTTACAGTACGTCCGAGGTTAAGGATCTCGGACCTATCCTTACACTATTCTCCCCCCGAAGTCATTCACTTGTGAATGATGTTGTTAGAGGTAATGGGAGTAGTGCATAAATAGAGAGAAAGGCGAATGAAAATATTAAAGGTGAGTTACAGAAATAAAAATAAAAATTGGTAACTCAAATTCATATATGGTTGTAAAATAAAATGTGATCGGAATGATCATAGCTGTAATGAAAATAATGACCGGAGTCACAGTGGCCGGGGACATAGTAAGAAGTGATGACCGGAGTCATAGCTGCCGGGACCATAGTAAAAAGTAATGACCGGGGTCATAGTGGTTGTAGCCGAAGTAAAAAGTAATGAAAATAAAATTGGTAACTCAAATTCATATATGGCTGTAAAATAAAATGTGATCGGAATGATCATAGCCGTAATGAAAATAATGACCGGAGTCACAGTGGCCGGGGACATAGTAAGAAGTGATGACCGGAGTCATAGCTGCGGGGACCATAGTAAAAAGTAATGACCGGGGTCATAGTGGTCGTAGCCGAAGTAAAAAGTAATGATCAGAGTCATAGTGGCCAGGGCCATAATAAAAAATGATGACCGGAGTCATAATGGCTGGAGGCGAAGTAAAAATAATGACTGAAGTCATAATGGCCGGAGCCGAAGTAAAAAGTAATGACCGTAGCCAAAGTAAAAAGTAATGACTGAAGTCATAATAGCCGGAGCCGAAGTAAAAAGTAGGTTAAACCCCCATTTTGGTCCCTCAACTATCGTACGGACCCCCGACTTAGTCCCTCAACTCAAAAAATTCCTGATTTGGTCCCTACTGTTTACCATTTTGACCCCGATTTAGTCCCTC